TAGCTACACCTTGTCTCTTCTAGCACCCAGCACAGTAGGCTCTTCAGTGTTTTTTGAATGAATGTTGACATAGGAAGATAAATATAACAAGAATTATAACAATGAAGAAATCCAACCAAAATGAGAAAATTGAAAAATATATTAAGGGATGGCAAAAATGGGGGGAGGGACTCAGTTTGTATGCCCAGTCTTGGGTTCTGCCAATTGTCCTTATAAATGAGCGCGCGCACACACACACACACAGCCCCCTCCACCCCCACTCCCATCAAGGTGGGCTGTGAAGTCTAAGCAGGGAGATGGCAGCCAGTAGTAAAAGGGAACTTTTTGCAACTCTTTAAAGGGGAGATATTGACTCTGACAACCAGGTGGAAGAACAGATCTGCTGACAGATGGGGAAACCCTATGGGGCATTAGGCCCGCTCCTGGGAAGGTGAGTGGCCTCACTGAAGCCTAATGGAAAAGGGGAAGGAACAGAAGAGAGGGCCTGGATTGGGTGGTGACTGATCTCTGGAAGCACAGAGTGTATACCCAAGCTGAGAGGGAGGGGCGAGGAAGGGAGGGAAGAACAGAACCTCTAAAGCTATCAGACAAAGAAGTTAAAGGGAGAAGGAGTATGGGTTTTGCATATTCCCCAGAGCAGTGGCTCCAAGGACAAGAGCAGTCTCTCTGGGCCCAAACAGAGGCATCCCAAATAGATTTCTTCCCTTCAGCTCTGACATCCTGTGAGTCCTACATATCACCTCTTGGCAGGGTGTCATGGAGTCCATTCTGGGATTGGGGGCGGGGAAGGGGCAGTAGCAAGATCCTGGGCACAAAACCAGGAGAGGGGAGGATGAGAATGAGGGAAGAGCGAGTTGTCCAGTTTAGACAGACTGGAGAAGAGCTAAAGAAAAACAGTAATAGACGAAGCTGGAAAGGTAGGTTGAGACCAGATGATGGAGGCTTTGAATAGCAAACTAAGGGGTTTATACTTCTATTTGGTAATCAATGGGGAGTCACTGAAGATTTTGGGACAGAGGAGTCATCAGGCCCTTGCATCAGGAAAATTATTTTGGTAGCTATGTGGATGATGGATCAAACAGAAAGGAGACAAGTGGTAGGAAGACCAGTAAGCAGGCTATTAAAATAGTCAGAAGAGCCGAGACAACGGCTTGCATTAAGCAACAGCCACAGGGGGAATGGAGAGACAGCAATGCAATATGGCAGAAAGAGAAAACAACATTTAATCTGGATGTGACCATGGCAATAAGTCTAAAAGGGCCCTGCCACAAAAACTAGTTTTCCCCTAAAAAGACAATAAATCCATCTTTAAGACTTAGCCCAGGGTACTAAGGCTCAATCTGCTGACCTAGGGCTTAAAAATCTAGCCTATGGCAGTCAGTCAGTACTCCTCAGACTCAACAGATTTCCCACCGCTGCATAAGTGAACATATTCTGACCAGGAGCAGTGCCTAACGGTCTCTGTGCTGAGTATCCTTTTCCTGCTATTAAAAGGACTTTCTTGTTAAATGTTTGGAGAATCTATGAGTGTCTCATTCCAACTCTGAGCCTGAACCACTAGACTGGCCTGAGTCCGGCCTGACCCCAAACATGTGTCCAGGGTGAGGAATTTAAAATGACCAGGTTCATTCCTGGGGGCTAGGAAGATGACAGGGCCAGCAACAGAGATAAGTTAGATAGAGTCTCAGATTGAGAGGACAGATCCTGAATTCAGTCTGGGACATATCTGAGGTGCAGGGGAGACATCCAAGTTGAAATATCCTGTGGAGATGGGGGTTAGGGCTCTGAAAAGAGGTGGGCTGTAGGCAGAGATGAGAGAATCTCAGGATTTATAATATCAAATTTGAAGGGGCTTTAGGAATCATCGCCTCTAATCCTCTCATTCTACCCTAAAGAAGACTGAGACCTATAGGGATACAGTGATTTTTCCAAAGTCATCGAGCTAATAAGTGACAGTGCTGTGTTTGGAACCCAGTTCCGATGCAGTCACCTGCATAAAGGTGACGCCCGAAACCCAGAATGAATGAGAAAGACAGCTGAGGGCACGGACAGGGAGAGGAGGGTCCAGCAAAAGCAGAGATTCAATTACATCCGGTTGAACATTTATTAAGCTCCTCTTGTGTGCCAGACAGTGTGCTGGGTGCTGGGAATACCGAGAAAAAACTGGAAGTTAACCCCATGCCCTCATCTTCCATTCTACAGGGATACAACATAAAAAAATACAAAATGAAAGGCCTATGTGGTACATACAAAGTACCTTCAAGAGAAGACTGACAGGGCAGCTAGGTGGCGCAGTGGATAGAGCACGGGCCCTGAAGTCAGGAGGACCTGAGTTCAAATCCGGCCTCAGACCAAACACTTGACACTTACTAGGTGTCCTGGGTGACCCTGGGCAAGTCACTTAATCCCAATTGCCTTAAAAAGAGAGAGAGAGAGAGAGAGAGAAGACTGACCGGGGACTGCCACTATACAATGCTGTCTCTCAAGAGGCAATAATAATAATAATATAATAATAATAATAATAATAATAATAATAATAAAATAATAATAATAATAATACAAACTAGAACATGGTGAGTAAGCTGGAGTAGAGTCCTATGGGATAGTTGGGATGAAGAAGGGAAGGCAGCAAGGCTCTGGGGAGATGGCCCCAGGCTCTTTTCTAAATGGAGAGAACTGTCTCAAACAAGAGCAGGCTCAGGACCCTCCAAGATGCCCAGGGACCTGTCCCTGGGCTATGCTGATTAGATTGGATAATTGCTCTCAACCATCCAGGTGGTTTGGTCTACAGAGCCCACAAGATCTTAGGGATAGGGGTCAGTCCTAGGCCCCAGAAGAGTGGGGAGACACCTGCATAATATGATCTGAGGGCCCCCTCTGTCTCAAAACCTCCCAGGCTAGATCCACTGCACCACTCCCACTTTCCTGGCCTGGGGCCTCTCCTTGGGGTTAGACCCCAAAGCCATTATCTCCAGAAGATAAAAAACACAAAAATGCTTTATTTATACAAGAGAAAATGTCCATGTGATCTGGTAGTTGAAGGAAGGCCTCAGGCCTTTTCCACTGGCAGAGTATTCTATCAAATTAACTCAAAGGATACAGATCTCAGAAGTCATCTAGCCTAGCCCTGACCTTTTACAGATGAGGAAACTCAGGTCCAGAGAGAAGGGATCTGCCCATAATTATTGAGATCTGAACCTAGGTTCTTTGACTCCACACTAGCGTTTACAAATTCCTAACATATTAATCTTTGAGATGCAAGGATGAAAAATTAGACTTCCCAGGAATTCTAGGGAACTCCCCAAACCACAAGTTATTCTCTATTTTTATAACACTTTATTTGCTTATTTTTAAATAATAATGAGTGACTGCAACAATAAAAAGTGAATCATTTTCTATGATAGTTATACTAAAAGTTTTGGAAGTTTTCTGTAAAAAAAAGATAATAAATGCATGACATTATTATTATAAACCAATATGTTATGACAACACTGTAGATATCTGATGATAGAAAACATTTAAAAAGGGAACATTATGCAAAATAATGCCAAATAAAGATAACTTAAAGATTAAATGATACTACAAATATTTAATATTCAAAAGTTATTCTTAAAATGAAAATTTAAAATATGCAGGTAGTCTTAATCTTTGTTTTGTGACAAAAATTCCACAGGAAAAAAAGACAAAAAAATTCGTTCATCTGGTGTTGACATTGGTCAAATTTTCAAATGTGCGCCCAAAAGCAACTTTGAGCTGGGTGTTATGGTATATGTTGCTTTATTCATACAAGCTCATTTCCTTTAATGATGAAAACATTTTGTCTGCTTGGCTCAATTTTGGTTTTGCCATCAAAACTGATACTGCCTCTGCAATACAGATTTTAGAGCTGTTTCTGATTTCACATCGGAGTATCCCACACCATTCATCTCTTCTCTTTTGCATTTCCCTTTAAAAAAATCTTTTCACTAATGATTCTGTGAGTCAAGACAGTTCATTTTTGGAATGGCTGAACAAGTTGTGGTATATGAATGTCATGGAATACTACTGTGCTATAAGAAATGAGGAGGAGGCAGACTTCAAAAAAACCTGGAAAGACTTGTATGGACGATGCTGAGTGAAGTGAGCAGAAGCAGGAGAACGTTGTACACAGTAACAGCCACATCGTGCCATGACTGACTTTGATAGACTAGGCTCTTCTCAGCAGTGCAAGGATCTAAGACAACTCCAAAAGTCTTACAATAGAAAATGCTATCCACATCCAGAGAAAGAACTATGGAGCCTGATTGAAGATTGAAGCATACCATTTTTAAACTTTTTTGTTGTTTTTTTATTTCTTGTGTTTTTTTCCTTTTGTTCCAATTACTGTTTCACAACACGACTAATGTGGAAATATGTTTGACATAACTGAACACGTATAACCTATACTGGATTGATTGCTGTCTTAGGGAGGGGGGAGAGAAAGGAGGAATGGAGAAAAATTAGGAACTCAAAATCTGACAGAAATGAATGTTGAAGACTATCTTTACATGTAATTGGAAAAAAATAAAATACTAGTAAGTACAAAAAAAAGAAAAAGATATTTCATTCTTGTTTGCCAAAGCCAAAAAGTAGTCCTTTTACACCTGTTATAAATGATTAACATTGTTTAAACATTAAATGAGGGATACTAAATCTTTATTCCTACATTTAATCAGTTCATTTCTCATTTCTTTTAAAAGCATACTGTTCAAAGCAGAATTGTTCTTCCAAACTACTAAAAAAGAACCCTAAAAATACCTTCCCCTGTTAAGAGATTTGCATCATGATTTCTTAATGCTTCAACTGCCGGCTGAAAGGTCTTCAAGCAATTTGATACATCCATGACCATTTCATAATATTCTTCTTTCCATAAGTCACAGAGTTTCAGGTGTTTATCAGACTCAGGCTCTTTAAAAAGCTTTCCCTCATTTTCTCTAATGTGTCCCAGCATGTTTTATAGTCCGAAGTGGCTTATGGTTCTATTTTTTTTTTCTTGATTATTTCAAGATTATTGCAAAAGAAAATTTCTTGCTGGAGAATATTTAACCAGTCTGACCACTTTTCTCACACTAAAATTTGCCAGAGAGGGATCCCGTTGCAGATCATGCTGACCGGCGTAAGCTCAGAGCTGCTTCTTGAATTCAGAATCTGCCTTCCTATTTATTCCCTGACACTGCTCCTTTTAACTTTCTGGTGCAAAACCCTTTCATTGTGGCAAGGCAGAACATGTGGTTGAAACATAACTTGAACAGAAGGAATTTTTCCTTAACTTCAGCTTCACTGATGCTCGGTGATGCAACCCCAAGGAAGGATTCCACATGCTTACAGTCACTTGGGCCCTCTCTATTGTACCGAGTTAGCTGCTACCTCGGAAGGCACAGAGAGCTGGTCCTGAAGAGAGCCCAAGAGGAAAGGGAACCACCTGGCAGCGGACAGAGAAGGCAGAGAAGGCAGGCCTGGGACAGCGCAGGTTCTGCCCCTGCTCAGAGGGGAAGGAAGGGGTCAGATCCGAGAAACGTCAGAGCCGGGATCTCCTAATCCAAGCCTCTCAACGCTCATCTTCTACAGTGTCTGCTGGATGCAAACCCATTAGAAACCGTACTTAAAACAAATGAGAATGAGCAGAAGCAGGCAAGCTCCTCCAGCCCCCCAGTGAGAGCCAGGCCTCCTGGCCCTCCAGTGTCTTGGGAAGCTCACCCCAGCTCTGACTTTTACTTACAAGGAAAACAACGTTCCAGCCCCGATGGAGGAAGCGAGACCATTTCCCAGACATCTGCTGCGTCCACAGTCAGGCGCTCAGCCAACGTGGGACAGGCTGGAGATGGAAGCCAAGCGCTGGCGGGTGACCACGGCGAGAACACAGAACAGTACGACAGAGAAGGAACGCCAAATCTGGACTCAGAAACATGGAAGGAAATCCCAGCTCCGCCACTTGTTAACTCCGGCTCACCTCGTGCAGGTCACTTCCCTCCTCTGAGACTCAGTTTCCCCCTCTGCGAAAGGACGGCACTGGATTAAACTCTTCCGCCCTGGCTGGACTGGCTATCCGAGGGCCCAATCCTACTACAGATTCCTTTAGGCTGCTCCAACTCTGACCTGGGCCTGGGTTCTAATCGTGCCTCAGATGCTCACTAGCTGTGTGACCCCGTGACATGGGGATAACAAAGCACCTCCCTCACCGCGCTGGCGAGAGGATCCAAGGAGACACAGTGCCCAGCGTGCACGGTGCTCGATAAACGCTGGCCCCCTTCCCTCGGATACTTACTAGCTTTGTGACTCTGCCTCCTGGGGACAAACAGAACAACCCCTGCCTGGTCACAGGTGTCACAGAGGACATCGGTAAAGCAGTCTGCAAACCTGAAAGTGCTTGGCACACTGTACCCACCTAATCATCATCTTATGAGGAAAGAGGGCCACGATACACAAGGAAATGATCCCTGCACCGGGGAGGGGGCGTCCAGGGTCGGAAGGTGTAGACAGTTATCACCGGGCAAAAACAGAGGGCAATCAACAGGGCTGGAGGCAGGAAGCCCCGAGTTCAAATCCTGCTCCTACAGTGGCTGTGACCCTCTGAGCCTCGACATCCTCATCTGTAAAATGGGGGATACAGCACTTCCTCTGTATGCCTAAGAGAGCTTGTGCGAGCACCAAACCGAGACGGGCAGGGACCACGCTGAGCCAATCCCCGGAGGGACGCCAGGGGGCGCCGCGCGCATGCGCCATAGCGGGAGCCTACCGTCGTTTCTTCCAGTCCCAACCCCCCCCCTCCCATTTCGGTCCCGTCTCCTACATGCACGCATGCGCACTTCCAACGTGGGAGGCCGCTCTAGCCACTCACTAGGCCCGCCGGCTCGGCTTCAGTGGTGGTGGAGGGGGGGGTGGGGTTGGTTCCCTCCAAGATGGCGGCGCAGAGGAGGAGCCTGCTGCAGAGTGTGAGGAAGCCACCCGCGGGCCGGCGCCGTCCGGCCTCGGGGCTGGGGGCCGGGATGGGCTGGGCCAGGGGGGAGGGAGAAGCCGTTTCGCTTCAGCCAAGGGAGGGAGGACGCTCTTTAACCCGGCCTGACCAGGCTACCCCCACCTCCCCTTCTCATCCCATCCCCGTCGCCGCGGCCCCTCCCCCTGCCTACGGACAGCGCCCCTCCCCCTCACCTGGCGCGTGCGCGCTGGTGCCGCCGGCTTACCTCGCGCCACTCTGGAGCAGTCTCGCGCGCCCCCTCGCGAGGGGCCGGGAGTAGGAACTCTCGCACGCAGGCGCACTGCTCAGCTGTGGGAGGGGCGGGCCTCGCGCGCTGATGGCGTTCTGGTCTCGCGGGGCTGGACTCCGGGCTGCGTGCGTCTCCCGGTGGCGGGGATGGGAAGGACGACAAGTGGTGCGTAGGTTCCCCCTTCCCTCTCACGCCCGGCGGCGCATGCGCCTTGTGCTGTAGTGGTTAGCGGAAGCCCACGTGCTCGTTGCTGTGTTAGAGGAGGCAGAGCCAGGAGGTTGGGGAAGAGGGACAGGAGGAGATGGAGTGGAAGCTCTTCGAGGGCGGGACCTGCTTCCTACGGTCTTGGCATCCTTCTGAGCTTAGCACAGCCTCTGACACTTGGGATCTTAGCTCCAGAGATGGACATCCAGTGGCGTCAAAATCAAATAGAAAGGGATCCCCAGCTCGACTTAGAAAACCACAAATTAACATTATCTACATTGTGTCCTGTTTTTATTTTGTTAAACGTTTCCCTAGTTATATTGTAGTCTGGTTCAGGGCCCACTCTGGAGTGTGTGCAGGTGCGCGTGGGCTGTGTGCTTTACACTCCAAGTCCCACCCCCATCTTTTACAGAAGAGGAGACTGAGGCCAGGGAGGTCTTAAGTGACCTGCCCAGAGGCCTTCGCACACCAAACTCAACGTTCTTTTCACAGTCCCCTGATGAGGATGGAGGGAATCCTAGACCTGGGTCTGGAAAAGGCTAATTTAGAGACCATCTAGTTTAACCCCCTTAATTCTCCAAAAAAGGTAGCTGAGGTCTGGAAAGGGAACGTGACCTGCCAAATGTCACCTAAATGATGAACATCAAAAGTAGGATTGGAATTCAGGTCTACCCACTCTTTTCCATGGTGTCATGCTGCCTTTTTTCTTCCTTTTTTTTATTTTTATTTTTTTTGTGTGTGAGGCAGGGTCACAGCTAGTGAGCATCATGTGTCTGAGGCTGCATTTGAATTCAGGTCTTCCTGATTCCAGGTTCAGTGCTCTATCCACTGCTGTCTCTCTCTCTCTTTTTTTTGGGGGGGGGCTTGCTTGTTCTAACTTGTGAGGTTCGACCTGTCTTGCTAGTCACTGAGAACAATAGAGCCCAGCACATTTTAAGAAACAGTGTATTTATATAGTCAGCCTCAGAGCCTGGATGTCCCGGCTTCAGGTTTGCTCTCTGACACATGGTCGTGGGCAAGCCACTGAATCTCTCAGACCCTTGAGTTGCAGGATCTGCTTTGGTAGAGGGAGATCAGGGAGATCAGAGATCAGAGCTCTGTAGTGAGAGAAAAAAATGAAGCTTTGTGCAGAAGGGTTCAGAGGGAGAAAATGTTAATGGAAACGCCACCCCACTGAATCAAACCTGGCATAAAGTAGAAACTGAGTTTCTGAAGGGCAGCATTTGTCAGATGAGGATCTCTCTTCATGTCAGGGTGCTTGCTAAAATTTTTAAAAAACAAGCAGCAAGGATGAGGGGGCAGATGCCAATGTTTTATAAGAGCCTAGTTCTTTAGCTAGAAGGGACCTTAAGTGCCAACGAGTTCATTGGTTTCCAACCTTTTTTCTCTCAGGATCTCTTTGTACTCTTAAAAATTATTGATGACTCCCCAGAGTTTTTGCTTGTGTGGATTATATCTGTTGATATTTATCATATTAGAGATTTAAACTGATAACATTTTAAAATAGTTATTAGTTCATTTAATAATAGATTTACTACATATTGACATAGAGTTTTAATGAAAAATAACTTTTCCAAAACAAAAAAATTTAGTGGGAAAAATAGCATAGTTTTATCTTTTTGCCTATTTCCTTAACATCCGGCTTCACAGAAGACAATTGGATTCTCCTGTCTGCTTCTGCATTCAGTCTATTGCAATAGGTTGTTTTGGTTGAAATAGATAAAGAAAATCAGCCTCACATGGAGATGTAGCCGGAAAAGGGAGGAGTTTTTGAAGAGCTCTTTTAGATTGCTGTGATATTCTTTGAGATTACACCAAAACCCCGCAATTGGTAGTAGCAATGTAGCTGCTGAAACCCGATGAATGAACTTTCCAGCCTGTGTCACATTGACGTCCACTGGTCCACCTTGTGCTTTGAATGGCTCTTTTACTCATGAATGAGCTCGTAACCTCACAAACTGGTCATTTGGACAACATTGGCTTTCCAAGCTGTCAGTCTCCCAGATGCTGACACATTTTATTGTACGATATCCCAAGGTCAGATGTGTTAAATTCACCACCCGTCTCATCTGAAGCCTCTAAGTACCGGGAAGGTGTCAAACTCAAGGTGACAGATTCAAATTTTCCAAAATTTCAATTTTTGCTTGAAAGCTCAAATTTTATCATTGGCAACAAATTCTATCATTTGTTTTCCTTGAAGTGACAGGTTTGCTTCATTCATTTTTGAGAAAATGTCTGCCAAATGCCCAAGTCTGAATAACCATAGTTTGTGGGTCTTTCTTTCAAGTAAAAACAGTGACCCAGTGAAAAGTGATCTCTGCTCACCCAGCTGCACAAGTGCTTTCCTTGTGCCACCAACCCTGGGGTGTGCTGCATACATGGGGTATTCCTGCTCCTGATCTCCGTTGTGTTAAAGATTTGCATTCAGAGATCAAGATTTGATAAGATTGATGGTGTATAAACACCATCAGTAATGGTGTTTATATGATGATGGAGCAATAATGCTCCATCAGGGATATTCCTAGGTGGAACTGGCTTGCTTTCTCCTGGGAATGCGAGGTCTGGCCCACTTGGTGTCACTGCCGCCATTTGCGCTACGGTACTGCTCTTGGACCCTCCATGGTCTTTTGCGTAGTTAGTGTGGATGTCAGCACAGCTGTGCCAGGATAAGCCAGGAGATTCACAGAAATGCTTCAACACTTTGGATATTTCAGCACCACTTGTGCTTGTAGCCAGATGTTCACCCAGAATATCTTCTTTTGTGATCAAGTGGTCCTGAGGCCGGATGAATACATGCAAAGCAAGTCCAGCCACCTGTAGACCTGTCTGTCTGTAAGGCAAAAGTACAGTTGCGCAGAGGAGATATTAGCTCATTCATGTTTGTGGCTCAGTCTTCAACTCTCAGATCATGTAGCCTCTGGAAGACTCCACTCTACACCTATGAGAGAATGAGAATGAAAAAAGGCAAATGATGTCTTATTGTGAAATAAATAGTCCAGCCTCATAGACCCCCTGAAGCATCTTGTGGATCCCGCAGGGGCCTCCGACCACACTGTGAGAACCGTTGGTCTTGTAGGCCAACCTTTTGTTCTGCAGACAAGGAAATAGGCCCAAGGAGGTTCGTTGACTTGCACAGTTACAGAGTTAGAAGAGGTGGGATTTGAACCCAGGCAGCACGCTTTTGCTCTGTCTCTATGCACTCAGCCATTAAGAATGTATGAGGAAAAAGCAGAAACCAAATAAATGTTCAATTGTTCCATTGAAGTGACGTTCTTATGGTCACCTAGCAGGGCTGTGGTTGACATAAATGGCCTTAGCCAAATCACTTTCTCTGGGCCTTCATGTTTCGCTAGATGATCTCTAAGGGCCCTTCTAGCCCTACATCTGTGGTCCTTTATGGCGGAACTCTCGGGGTGTGACTGTGTGTGTCTGTCCCTCTTTTGAGGAAACTCTCCAGTGCTTGGGGTGAGCAGCAGCTGCTAACTCGATGTGGGCAGGATAACAGACATGATATTGTTGGGGGTTGAGGGGTGCTAGAGGAAGGCATCCCCTGTCAGAGTCTGGGCCTTTTATGAGCCAGTCTCTGCTATTATCTGCTGATAATACTTTAATATTTTGGGAATCCCAGGTTCTTCCTCCACTGAGATAGATTGCAGCTTCTATCTGATCTTGAGAAGTTCCCATGGCTAGAAAGAATCCATCAGCTGCCTCGCAGAATCATAGGCTGAAGGTTGGAAAAAGTCCTACAGACAAGGAAGATCGGTCCCTGGTAGGTGGCTGAGGCTTGCCCAAGGTCACAAAGGTGGTAAGAGGTGGAACTGGGATTTGGGCCTTGGGCCTCAGACTCCATATTTAGTGCTCTTTCCACTATGCCTTTTTTTTTTTAGTAGAAAGTGTATTGGCTTTAACATTTTATTTTTTCCCACTTACATGTAAAAACAATTTTTTAAACATTCATTTTTTAAAAATTTGAGTTCCAAATTCCTTCCCTTCTTCCCTTCACTCCCCACTCATTGAAAAGGCAAGCAATTAGATACAGGTTATACATGTGCAGTCTTGCAGAACATTTCCATATTAGTCATGTTGTGAAAGAAAATATAGACCAAAAGAAAAAGAAACAAAACAAGAAAAATAAAAAAGAGTCGGCTTCACTTTGTTTTCAGACTCCATCAGTTCTTTCTGTGGAGGTGGAAAGCGTTTTCCACCATGAGTCCTTTGGGATTGTCTCGGATCAGTGTAACGCTGAGAAGAGCTGTCATTCACAGCTGATCACCATACGGTACGGCTGTTGTTGCTTAGTGAGCTCCTAGTTCTGCTCACTTCACTTTGCATCAGTCTGTGTACATCTTCCCAGGTTTTTCTGAAACTCTCCTCCTCATCATTTCTTTTGGCACAACAGTATTCCATCACAATCGTGTGCTATAGCTTGGTCAGCCATTCCCCAATTGATGGGCGTCCCCTTGATTTCCAATTCTTTGCCACCATGAAAGGAGCTGCTGTAGATATTTTTGTACAGATAGATCCTTTTCCTTTTCCTTTGATCTCTTTGGGATACAGACGTAGAAGTGGTATTGCTGGGTCAAAGAGTATGCACAATTTTATAGCCCTTTGAGCATAGCTCCAGCTTGCTCCCCAGAATGGTTGGATCAGTTCACAACTCTACCAGTGGTGCTTTTCCACTGCGCCTCTCGGTCAGCCTTGAGGCCAGCGGCAGATTTGGGCTCTCTAGGATCATGAGAGTTAAAGCCAAATCTGACCACTCTCGTGCTCCATGGGCACACGTGAGTGGCTCCTTGACAGGGTTGTGGTAAAGCGGATTCTTTTGGAGGCAGGAATTGGGCTAGGCGACCTCTGAGGCCTCCTCTAGCTCTGAGATTCCTTGGAGTCACTTAGCCCAGCGTGTTCTCCACGTTGTGATCGGATAACTTCATGGCAGGAAGGCCTCACTGAAGGATGTTGAT